TAATTCCATATATATATATATATATATATATATATATATATGTATATATATATATATATATATATATCACCATATATATATGCATATATATATTCATGTATATCAAATAATTAAATTCACGTAATGTATATAATTAATATCGTATAATAATATTACCTAAGGGTTCTCGAGTTAGAAATATTAGTCTCGGGTTTTAGGGTTTTCAGGTTTTGGAAAGGTGGGGTGTTACAATCTCCCCCCCTTAAAGAAATTTTGTCCCCCAAATTGTTACCTGAACAACTCGGGGAAATTTTCGCGCATTTCTTCTTCTCGTTCCCACGTGGCTTCTTCGGGTGTATGGTTTTGCCAAAGGATTTTAAGGAATTTTAGGTCTCGGTTTCGAAGAGTTTTGGTTTTGAAATCAAGTATTTGGGAAGGTTTCTTTTCGTAAGAAAGGTTAGGGTTTAGTTCGACCGGTTCGGTTTTCAATACGTGGTCTGGACTGCGAATGTATTTTCGAAGCATGGAAACGTGAAAGACATTGTGAAAGTTTGATAAATTGGGTGGTAAGGCTAGTCGGTAGGCGCGGGTACCAACTTTGTCGAAAATTTCGAATGGGCCGATAAATCGCGGTGCTAATTTTCCCTTTTTCCCAAATCGCATAATTCCTTTTAAAGGCGCCACTTTCAAGAATACGGAGTCTCTGACTTCGAATTCGAGGTCTCTCCTTCGAGTGTTGGCATAGCTTTGTTGCTGATCTTGGGCAATTCGCATTTTCTCCCGAATATTTTTGATGATATCGACGGTTTGTTGAACTAGGTCGGCGGGACCAAGAAATTTTCTTTCGCCAATTTCGTCCCAATGGAGCGGGGACCTACACTTACGGCCGTAAAGAGCTTCGTAATGTAGCGCCCCGCCCCGAGTAGCAGGCACCTCGTGGCGGAACACCACTCAACATGCAGTACATTCAATGACCCCAAATATGTTCCTCAAAATTTCGATGATTAAACCCCCAATATCTATTCCATCGTGTTTACAAAAGGAGGTTCTATTACAAGTCGACTTCGACACCACTTACTCTATTACAAAATTCTCGATCAACCTATACGGAACATAAATAGAGATACCTGTCGACGAGACTAATCGGAGGCATACACGAGCTTTAACTCTTAGTATGAAAATTTAGGTCTAAGTCTTTCTTTTACCTGCGCATTAATATTAGAAAGGAGAAATGAATAAGTCCGAATGACTTCGTGAAAAACATATGATCCATGAGTATGATGAGAATCAACAGAACAGAACATATAACGAGAGACTTTACAAGAATTTCATTAACAGAAGTGTAACATGTACAAGAGTGTAACATGTACGGCTTGAGTTCAATATTTGGTGGGGTCTCCAACCTTGTAACTCCTCACAAATAAAATCATATCACATCCTTATCCCTCCACTCCGTCCCGAGTGGCCACTCGGTC